GAGAGAAGAGAGCGAGAGAGAGAGATAGAGGAGAAGAGAGAGACAGAGAGAGAGAGAGAGAGAGGAGATAGAGAGAAGAGGAGAGAGGAGAGAAGGAGAGAGAGAGAGAGTAGAGAGAGAGAGAGAGATAGAGATAAGCGATATAGATAGATAGAGAGAGAGAGAGAGAGAGAGAGGCAGGCCAAGCCGTATAGCCTCAGCGGCCGAGTGGGTTGTGAAAGTCCTCATGATAACGACAATGTGAGCAAGGTCCAGTGCAGATTGGTATTGCGGCAGGCACTAAAACCCAGGTTCTAGCCTTGAATTCTTCTCAGAAACCAGCGCTTTTTCAGGCGTTGCACGTTAAGCCGCGTCCGGCCGGCCGGGGGAAAATTGACTCCGTCTACGGGTTTTGACCACGAGTGAAAAACAAACGCTCGCAGTGATACGAATTTTTTAGTGTCTCTTTATCTGTAAATCTGGCATCATTTATGCAAATTGAAAGTTTTGATCAGGGATCCCCTGCTGCCCCCCCCCCCCTGCCCACCCGCCTGGGTCACTAGTCGTGAGCAGCATAGGTGTGCACGGCAGGGGGCGGAACACAGCGGTGGCGCTCGTCGCGGATCCCGTTTTTTTGGTTAGTCCTTGTGTTGTAGTTTTTGTTTGTCCTTGTGTGTAGTCCCTGTGTCGAGGCAGGCACGGACTTTCTTTAATCATGGTTCCCGCTTCTTAATTTCGGTTCCAGGCTCCCACTTCCTTCTTCTGAAAACGAAATATTGGAGCTGTGGTATCGGCTGGTTATTTCGTAACCTCCACCCCTAGTTCCTGGGTCCTATTGGCTTCTTTGCAAATACAGTACCTTATTTTCTGGTCTGTGGTACTTTTGTAAATGGTGATATGTATTCCTGGCTCCCACTGGTTCCCCCACAAGCACCAGAACCCCGTTACTGCTTTCCATTAGCTTTCCACGAGGACCAAAGACTGCTTCCCTGGTTCCCGCGAATCATTTTGCGAACACCAAGCCTTCGTTCATGATTTCCACTGGTGTGTCGCTTTCCTGTGCTGAAGTATTTGTCAATCTGCTATCCCCGTTGACTATTTTTTCCGTTCCATTCTTTCGGATTCGACTGTTGTCTCTTCTGGCTTTTGTCCCTCGAACGTTTCCTTGATTCGACTTTTATCGTTGGTGATACTTCTGTCGTTCGCCTTTTATCATTCGGTTTTTGCGCCATGGAACTTTCTTCCATTCGACCTTTTGTCCCGAGATGTGCGTATCTCCGCTGGTGACTGCTGGCAGAGGTGAGAATAGTTGTCCAGGATCGAACAAGGGGAGGGGGGTCGGAGGCACCTTGAGCCGTTTCTTATCATGCTCACTCATGAGCATTATGTTGAATCATCCTACATTTTGGTGGTCAAGCTCCCTAAAGTCCCCGCCATAGCATGACAGTTCACGCAACCATAGCTGCTGGCAACAGCAGTGGCGTTTTTGCGATTAAGCATCTTATGCGAATAAAAAAGTACCCCGTTGAAGAGCATATATTTATTTATCAATCGAGGATGCGTTGTTGTAAACTGTACCAGGTGGCAACTCTGGCTATGCGTTAAGTTTTACAGACGTAATCACACACACGTGTGCATGTAAACGCACACACAGGAATCATAAAAATAAAGCTCTTAAGTGCATCATGCACTGTCACACTTCAGTATGTTGGAGCGGCCGCCGAGCTCGCCGGTTACAGACACTCGAGCCGCCCATCCCCGCGCCGCCCAAGGGAACTTGCCCCCTGCGCAAGCGGCCCGGAAGGCAAAGCTCCGCAGCGCACCCTCGGCGGTTCCAAAAGACTATCAGCAGTCCCATGTGTGACACGGGTTGACACTGCATCGCGGTACATCACACGCTCTTTCAAAGATATCGCTAGGCCAAAAATGTGTCAAATTGTATGCATTACCGTCAGGTCACGTTCAACTAAGGGCTCGTCAAATGTGTGCCATTGCAACTCGGCTGGTATGGAAGAAATATGGTCATAGCTGTGAGTACCTTTCACAATACTCTACAGCGGTTAGCCACTTTTTAAATGCGGTACTGCTGAACATTGGTGCGACTTCCCCACACAGCCAAGCAACATTGCAAATGAGGAGAGAACAACCTTTGATAAGCCTTTTTATAAGATCATGCATCAGCCTTTACGACAATTTTTCAGATGCCGCAGATGCACACATAGCTATATACATTCATACATAGCCACAGCTTCCTCCAGGCGATATTCGAGGCGAAATGAAGCGTTCGGGTAGCACCTATGAATAGATTGCGCGTCGTTCGCACACATCACGAGTTTTCAACAGGTGATGTGAGCTGGAAAGTCATTGTTAACACGCGCCCGGGTGGCCGGCTAGATACCCTTCGCCCGGGTGGGGGCCAATTTGACCCCGCTGAAATCTCTGGAACTAAGAAAGCTAGAAACGCCAAATTTACAGGGCGTCTTGACGTGTACATGAACTCACATAGTTCAAAATTTGACATTCATAGGGCATGACCTACAGGTCAAATAAGTTCAAACAAGGTTAAATTCCAGGTTGATCTCTAAAGTGCACCCAGAACCTAGGCAACTATTTCTAAGTAAAAGGTCACAAGCCCACTTGAGGTCAGTGACTTTGTTTGATCTTTTGAAGGTCATGGTGACCAAAATCATATAAGACTGCTCTGAGTTTTGCATTTTAATAAACGACAAAGATTACGCTAGGCAGTGTGATCCTAAAATAAAATGTCGACCCGGGTCATCTTCGGTCAATGACCTTTTCTGACCTCGAAAAATCAATGAGAGACGTATATTTCGGTTCCCGCTGTCAATAAATGCAAATTGAGCACCAGAAACTATCCCACACAGCAAGCCCCAGAGTAATAAATCAGGTCGGTTTAAACTTGGTCTGACCTTTATACCTGACCTTAGGTCAACGTAATTTTCTCATTCAATGTTTGTGGTGCCTAAGAAAGCATCTCAGAGATGCACGGCTTCGTCAAACACTTCGTTGTTGCATCAAGTTGAACGATTCCCTAAAAATTGTCTTCCCGGAAACCATGACCTGACTTTCGCCTGCCATAGGTCAGCGACCTTACAAGGTACATCTAAATTTTTACGTCAAACGATCCGCTATTCAGCTGTCTACATCTATGCAAAATTTGGCAAAATTCGGAAATCATTCTGGAAAAATGTTTGGGGGTCAGCTTGACCCCCGTCCGAGCGCGGGTTAATAATAATAATGAAAGCGGTTCTCACATCGAGCCCTGGTGGGTTGGCGATGGTGAATGGTGAACAGAGTCACACTGTGAGTTGTTTGCAAGACGTCATTTTCACTGCACGCACGCTGCCTGCGATCACAAAGGCGGTCTTAGATCCATCGGCATACCACCCAAGAGCCTTAGGAGCCGGGTATGTAGCAATTACCGTTGTGGCAAAATAGCGATCACCGTAAGTAAAAACAATTCCGTCGTCAAGGGTTGTGAAAGATGCATCACCACGCTGAACATGTCTGTCTCCATGGAACGCCCGGCCGGAAGTCATGTTGTTGATCACACAGTGTGGACTGATGGGATAAATAAACCACCGGTGCACATTGCTTGTTCCTTCATTGAGTTTTTCAGTCAACTTTGCAACGGTCGGCGGGATAGAAATCAGTCTCTTATTGCTTCGTTCAGCTTTTCTACCACGCCTATGCATTGATGGAACAGAATCTAACATCCACTGAGATGGTGCAATGCCAGCCACAGTAGTACACATCGTGAAAAACATGTGCAACAGAAACGACAGCATGCAACAAGTGAGTTCCAACGACTGAAATGATGAGACGCAACATCGGTACAGCAAAAGAAGCCGCGGAAAGTTTGGCAGGGGAGGCACGCTGGGCGGGGCAGATGAGAAGCGCTGCAAACACCACATGGGGTCACCCTTCCCAGGGTGCGCTGCATGTTTGACCGCTTCGACCGTGATCGCGGCAGCTGGCCGAACGCGCCTGGCCGCCTGGGTAGTATTCCACGTGGCGTCCACAAGATAAACAGTGGCGGGCCACCGGATCGGCCCACTTGTCGCCCAGCCGTCGGAGTGGTAGGACGTGCCGCGCCAGAGCGCCAGCCTCCGCAGCCTTCACGCCGCCTCCAGAGCCTCCAGAGCCTCCGGCCGCCGTGTCGCTCAGACCAGCAGTCAGGTGAGGCATCCGAGGTGCCTCGCATGGATCGCTGTGAACAGACCGTAAGCAGGGCGACGGCACTGGGGGTGGCGGTGTGCCCCGTAAGGTTAATACGGCAACGAACGCAGCGCAGTTGGTCAACGGGAATTGCAGTGACCAGGGCTTTATTTTCCGGGATCAATATTAAAGCGATCTGAGACGCATTCTCACCGTTGTATGCCCTTTTGACTTTTATTTGTATTACACGCGTGCGAAAAGCGTGGGAGTACATTTTGTTTGTACTTTAGGTTATTCCGTTGCTCGCATTTTATGGGGGAACCCATCGTTACTTTGTTGCATCGTTCATTGCATTATGTACTGTCATAACACAGATTGTAATCTGAAAAGTCAGAATAAATTCCTCCCAGATAGCTGGGCAAATATCTGTAGAGCGTCTTATTGACGGTAGATGACAATTTTAAATGGCTAACTCACATTAATAATGCATTCACTATCATCAGCTGAAACTTATGGTAATGAGAATGACTAAACCATGTCCCACTTTTTCCTCACATCTGCTTCTTTATTACACCCTGATTCATCTTTATCTTAATGTGCTGTTGTTTGGGAAAGTTATCGCACCGCTAGAGTGAATAAGCTAAGGAAACTTCAAAATTTTTGTAATAAGAAAAATCATGAAAATATATTGCATTTCTTCAGCGGATTTAATCGTGAAATAGGGCACCATGAAACTTCCATATTTCGTGAACAGTTGAGCACCGTTATGCTTCTAAATAAGCTTCAGGGATTACCTTACCGCCACCAATCTTTGCAATTGTCTCGTGTTCTGAACTAACCAACACCAAAGCTGGGCAACATGCCCAAATTCCAGTTGGCTGAATCTGTCTGCAAAGGCTTCTGTTTGTCTTATACTGCACCGCGTACTTGAATTTTGATGACATGCAAATGTCTCCAAAAATATCTATGAAGTACCCAAAGCACCGTCTTACCGTTTATCATAAAATACGCCATTGCAGTCTGTGTTGCTGCTAATTGTAATTTGAACCGAGTCGGAGATCACTGACCTAAAATGAACCCAATGAACCGTAGTTGTCAGGATCGTGTCTGCAAACGCATTCCTTGACGCTTGTCTAAGTTGTTAAATCAATGCAATATTGTAGGTTTTTGTTCACTGTGACCTTCTCAAGATGAAATAAGGTCACTGGCCTGATATGAAGACCAGCGGCCCTTTGCTTAGAAGAGGCATCTAGGTTAAAGGTGGTTGCATGAGGGGGTTTGAGTGCTCTTCGGACACCGATCTGGAGTTTGACCCTGCTTGAATATTTTCCCCAAAGGTCATTAGCAATGGACTTAAAATTTTGCCACCGGTGAGGTAACATATTGGTCTATCTGCCCTGCAAATTTGATATGTCTGGCTCTCTGAGGTTTTTTTTTGGTCTTAAGGGCCCAAATTACCTCTCTCGCCTAAGCGCGTCGCGTTCAGCCGGCCACCTAGGAGCGTGTGAGAAAAGTGACGTGCGGCATCCAAACGTGTCATGAAACATATGAAAACGAACAAATAGCATTATTTTTGGCATGTTTGGCGCTGTGCCAACTTTCAAACAGAGAATGTTTTTGGTACAGCACTATTCGGCTTTGAAGAAACCCCTTCAGATCGTTTGGGACCGCAGAACAATGGGTAGCCTCTGTCGCAGTGGTGTCCGGGGCTTCCCCATCGCCGAAGCGCCGCCAACACATTTCACACGCCCAGTACACGTCATTCTAGGATAACGATGCGTGTAAGGCGTAGTTGTTTGCAGCAGCTCTCTCATCATAAGCCGTCGCACCGGTATTATCCCAGAGATGAGGTGGATGGCAAATGCACACAAGCATGACACGGTAGTAATCAGCAAGAGCGAGCTAAACGATTTTGTACTAACGGTTATGGTGAACCAGGGTGTCAGATAAGCGATGTTTTACATTTCATGCAAACAACATTTTGAGGGCCTCTTAATATACATAAAGTAGGAAGGGGCCAGTCACGTGTGTTTACGCGATTGGGGTCGAGGTCAAAAATTCTATACACCAGTGGCCGACATCCAATGCGCGGTTGACTCATTTTGCGTCGAATGTCATGGACTCTTCTTGTTGCCAAATTGAGCTGTCCTTTTGTGATCGACTTTTACTCGCCACCATGAGAACAGTCTCACAAACATGGCAACAGCGTGATGAAGCCCCGCACACCTTGGACGAAATATGGATCGCTTCAAAAACATGAACAGGGATGCGTTTCGCGATGGAAGGCAAATCGAAGCAAAAAAATTGTCTTGCACTGGGGACACTTTTATCCAATGCAAATAGAGTTATTCGCGATAGGTTAAACCGCATGGAATAGACGTCAGATTTCTCCTAGTTCGTGCATCACACCGTTCCCAAGTATGAAAAAAGCTTAGCTTATGGCAATGGTGAGTAGTGGCTTTCAATCTTGGGATGACCTCTCTGTTACCTGTCTGACTAGGTGAGGATTGTGATGGTTTATAAAGTCATGCTATTGCATCCCTGCGAGACTTTCTCGCCCACCCACAAAGCATGGGCCAATGAGCCACATATACATGGAACAGTGTCGCCCCTCAGAGCCCGCTATATTAGCTCCCTGCTTGCTGGAAGTTGCAGCTGCAGCCACCCAGTCTTTCAGCTGCCATGTTCACGTGTCGCATGCCCGCTGCATGTTCCGCCACCCACGGCCGGTAACATGGGTGGTGGCGTGTCGGCAGCCAGCACTGCCGTGACGTGATGGCGCCCACACCGACGCCCGGCCCGACTCCGGTGGCCGCGGCCGCACCCGGCCTCCGCCAGCGGTCCTCCTCGTGCCACTCGCTCAACGCCTCCGAGTTCGTCCGACCGGACCTGCCATCCCGCTGCACCTGGTCGGCAGCCGCCGACGCCAAGACCAGCCCCCACACCCACTGCGCGCCGTGAGTACACACCCGCTGCGGCCCGGCTCTGGTCTCTACTGCGTATGGGTGGCGTAAGGTTGTCAAACACTCGACTGTGCCGGCATGCAATGTAAACACCACGTAACCAACGCGGTGATAGCCACCGCAGCGTGGACTTCATTTAGCTCAGCCTCTGTGTCCGTACGAATTAATAGGCATTCGAAGGGTTTTAAAACGGACGGTGGCCGCATTTTAAAGACACCAAACGACGGCATGTTGAACTAGATGCTGGTCGGGCATGGCAGGTCTTGCAAAACATGTCCCCGTAAAAAACATCCCGTAACATCCCGTAACATCCAAAAAAAACATCCTGTAACATACATTACTGCTACCCCTGTGAAACGCAAAGCTGATCACGTATCCGTAAATCTTAAAGAATGCTTGATAATGGCGTCAAATTTGATTTCAACGGTGATCTTAAATCTGAGTGAATATGGTTTTCTGCGGGTATGAAACGTATGCCTGTCAAATCGATTGATACGTATGCTGAGCGTTGGCGAATAATGAGAACTTGTGGTTGGACGCAAAGAGCAGCACATGAAAGGAAGTGGCAGATGTTTGGGCATGAATACTTCTGCGCTCAGTTTTTACTGCGCATAGCCACACAGCTTGTGTTTCATCACTTTTTGCAAAGTTGGTTTGCCGAGCCTGTCCCCTTTCCTATCTTGTGCCTAAACCACTGGTTCTGGGCATTTCGGATTTGAAGAGTGCAAAGATGATGCAGATCCTGTGATTTCGAAGTCAGTTTCCTCACACAAAGCACAGTATATTCACTTTTATATTGCATCACGTTAAATCGGTAGGTGTTCGATGATTCTACCGCTTAAATTTTTTGAGATATATTTCAGATATTGTTGCCAACGCCGATCGGCGCCTCCAGAAAAGCTCAGAGTGATCAAATGAGGCAGAACATCTCCATGCTAATTGTATAAATAAACTTCACCCTGCGCAGTTTATGACTGCTGATATGTTTGGAAAACGGCTAGGCAGTGCTGATACGCCCCTCCCCCAACCAGCGACTGATGACAGCTCGGAGCCGATGCGGTATCCTTCTCGGAACAGGGACGGATACTGACGTAGGACTGTTTTTGGCGATTGCAGAGTGCAAGTCATCACAATCCTTACACGAGACGCTCGCAAATTTCACTGCTTATTTCCTGTATTCGCATGCCACCTTACGTCAGGCTGGCTGATGCAACCAGGCCAATATTGTCTGCAATGCCGTATCGGATAAACCTTTGGCTGATGACATTACCTTGTGCTCCGGTATGGTTGCAGTTCTTCCCTAAGCCTTCTGAGTTTTTGCGCAGTCATTCGAGCTGGTAGCGCCTGTCATTATCAGAGCGCTGAGAGTAGTTGTTATCAGTGGTATGTAACCATCATTCTCTCCGCGTCTCCTCTCTCCGCATGAGAGCACTGCACAGTACAACATCGGTATAGCTATAGCGAAGTTCAGCAGTTGCACACTTGTCCCTTTCAACAAACAATACCGAAGCCATGAAATGGGCATACGCTACACGTTACGGTGCACAACTGTGACACCTTGCGGTGTTCGACGGCCGCGACCTCACCTGTCTTCAAGGAACCCTTACGCACGTCGTCGCGCAACCTTTTGCGGAGCGCCAACGACCGCGTGGGCCATACTGGCGCTCAGGGGCCGTGGTGGAACCGAGGTTCGAGCCCGGACCCGCACGTGGGAGCCGATGGCGCTAACCATTCGCCGGTGATGACCCTCGCGTCTGGGCGGGCCACGGTGCTCGGGACCGGGTGGAGGCTACTCTGGACTGGTGTTGGCCGTGGCCGAGCCACGGTGCTCGGGACCGGGTGGAGACTACTCTGGACTGGTGTTGGCCGTGGCCGAGCCACGGTGCTCGGGACCGCGTGCAGGCTACACTGAACTTGTGTTGGCGCTGCGCGTGCCACGTTGCCCAGGACCAGGTGGGATTGCCCGCGGCGAGGACGGGCATACAGTGGGATACATCGCAGGAACGTCAGATTCCTGGCGGCAGGCCTGCAGCCGTCGGGAGAGCCGACCTGAACGACCTCTTACTTTGTGACCGAGCGGCGACCGGGCGGAGTTAGGAGCGCCTCTAACTCGCAAAAATAAACGATACACGTGGAAGATAACAAATCAACACAGCACATGTTGGACGGAAATTCCGCACGTTTGTAAATATTTTATCCAAGAAGGGCTCTTCCCGGTGGGTCCATATCCGTTAAACGTGGCGTGACATATGCCGGCGCTGTTCAATATCGCTCGCTACTATTCCATATGCAAACCATGTGTTGGCGCCGTACCGCGCCACGGCCGATCACGACCTTCCGCCATTCGGACCTGGTGAACACAGCCGGGCGATCTGAGTGCGCCTTGCTTTCCGTCGTCGTCGCGTGCAAGAGCGGCGTCAAGGTTTGCGGACGCGCGTGTAGCCTTGTGCGCCCGCTGTGTGCCATGAGGAGGGACTCTGAATCGTGTCCAGAGATCCTGAGTGGAGCATTCGGATGCGGCGGCGACGCGAGTGTCGCTTCAGCCGATGTGCGTTGACACCAGGCGCTGTTTAAGCCGTGCGTGCTACCACGCCATCGCTTCGCGGAACGTGCGGCTGCTCTGCTTGATGCATGGTTAAACCCACAGTTCCGGGGAGGGGGGGGGGGGGGGCTGACAAACACCAGGGATGTGAGCTCATGCACGCCGTCTGATCTTACCATGTGCGGGACTCTGACGTGTCCGAACACGCCTCCTCACCACGTCCGGGGCTCTGACCTCTCCGAATACGCCCTCTTACCACCTGTCCGAACACACCCTCTCACAATGTCCGGGGCTCCGACCTGTCCGAACACACCCTCTCACTACGTCCGGAGCTCCTAACGTGGACCACCAAGTCTCACCTGTCCGAACACACCCCCTCACCACGTCCGGGGCTCCGACCTCTCCGAACACGCCCTCTTACCACCTGTCCGAACACGCCCTCTCCATGCGGTTGGTCACGCTTGCGCTGCCATTTCATGATGTGTAGAGAGCTTCCAGCCACCGAATCTCAGCAAAATTCTCCCCCATGGGATGCTAACAGCATTCTACGCGGTCTGTCGGTCGCAAGGACTCGGCAATCTACATTGACCGCTTTCCTGACAGGTCCACATATGCGGCTCGTCAGGTGCCGGCAGAGACGACACCACCAGGGGTGAGGGGGTAGCCACTTCTTTGGCTGTTTGACAAGGCGTAACATGTATTTACCGACTTAAAGGTTTAGGTGACCCCGCGAAGTCTGTAAGAGACCCCAGGTGACCGAGACAGACGGTGCCATCAAATTAAAAGGAGAGTCCGTTAGCCTTGCCTTAAGAGTGTGTATGTGTGTGTGTGTGTGGGTGGGGGGGGGGGGGGGTTATGACCCTGCTTAAGTTTTTGTGAAATGATGTCTGGAAGGTTTTGGACAGGGAGCCAAAACTTTCATACACTGAGTCTACATTATTTCTACACATTTTGTTTAAATTTTAAGTTTGTGCCTTGACAATTCGTGATGCGCCATTTCCTTCTGGAGGTCGAGTCGATGACAATTTGTTCAAAGCTGGCTTGCGACACCTTTTCATCGTGCGCAATGCACATTGAAGGGTTTCTAGACTTTCGTTTCTCAACTTAATCCACTTCAAGTACGAGACAATATTGGTAGGTCCTTTTTAAGGCCAGCTCATCTAGTGTCTGGCTAGATCACTTCTTACACCTCGCCACCAGATTAAACATTTTAAGGCTGCACGCTTAAACTTCGATGGCACATACCGTACAGCTGTGAAATACCTTCCCATTCTGCTTTCTCCATTGGTGTGACTTGTGTACGTTTCGGGTATAGCTGGACTGTATATAGCTGGGTATAGCTGGCCAATGCAACAAAAGCGTTTACCTCTGACGTTATATAGCATGTCACAGATCACATGTGTCAATGCCTACTAGTCTGTTGTCCACTAGTCCCATCTGATATAGTTTTTCAAGATCTATTCAACGCATTTTCCAACGCTCATCGCTCAACGCTCATCTTCAACAACGCAACAATGCAACAACGCTCATCTTCCGCAGACTCATAGGATTTTGTAGCATGCTTAGTTCTGTAGATAACAGGAGGGGTACACAAGGTATTAACTGCTAATTGATGTACCTTACGTAGCCTGACGAGAACTTTCCAAAGCTGTCGCTTCAATCGCTGTGGATTACTCTTCATAGATCTTATGGATATCTGACGCCTCGGGAGTGCAAAGGTGAGCGAGTGTGGAATAAACGGTGAAAGTGCTATGAATAAGGCATATAGGAGACAGTACCTGTCGCACAGGGTGCTCCAGGTGGTCACCATGGTCCCGCAATTATCGACATGGGGCCCCAAGATGATCCAAAGAAGCTCCCATTGGGTCAAGGCCGCATGCGGGGGGCCAAGGAGCACGTGCTCCCCCCCTCGGTTCCGAGGGGCACGAAGGGCCTCAATGTTAAATTTTGAATGTTGTTTCTCCTGGAACTGAGGATCATGGGCCCGTTTGGAGGACCAGAATAACTAGCCGTAGGCTGTACCAAGGGCTCCTGAACCGCGGGCACGGGCCCTCAAATGCCAGTCAGTGTCAAAGCATATAGGTCAGTCAGAGACCAGCAACTCACATCAGCGATCGAACGCCACCAACACCGAACTTAAAAAAGAATATTTTCTGTGCGTTTGATGCTGTTAAACCTGATGATGCTAACGCTTAAGTATTGTTTCAAAATTGTTGGTTAACAATGCACATGCAACATTGTGTTTCATTCAGCAATCACAGTGTTTGAAAACCTTGTCAGAGTTCATTCCGAATGAATTAGCACCCTAATTCAATAAGGCATCACACAAGGCAAACAAAAGGAGGTTCTGCGTGTACTCCAGACACACAAAATCAATAAAGGAAGATTTCTAGATTGTACGGCTCACATGCATCTGAGCATTTTGAGACAGCTAGTGATAGCGCCATTTCAATGATCCCAAGTTATGAAAGGGACGCATCTGTAATATACTAATGAAAGGTGGCGCGCGGCGAGTGGCTGCGTATCGCCAAAAACGATTATGATTGCAGCTAGCCTCTAACCGCCGAGTGATCAACAGTGTGCGTCAAGTGATCAAGCTAGACGTCGGATAGCCGTCTCCTGCAGCTAGCTTATCAGTCGGCAGCTAGCCTGTAAGTCGAGTAGTTGAAAGCAAACGTTGTCGAATATCATCGCGAGGTCGGGCAGCGGTTCGTGAATTTGATCTGCTTCGTATTTGAAATGCGGGACCATTTGCTTAACTGAAATGGAGACCTGGCGAGAGAAATCCCCGACGTTGGAGATCGGGGATTTAAGTTGCACAGTTCTAGGGTTCATCCTTCAGCTAGCAACTACGCTAGTCACTGATGGCACAAGCAAGCAACCGAAGGAAGCGTCAAACATTCGCCCTTGTAATCAGTGTGTTTATGCGGCGGCCCACGTGGCGTGCGGGCCGTTTCGGTTCAAAGATGTAAACAGTCCGCACGCGGAAAGTGCGTGGCCCTTGTCCGCCTTGCACCTTCAGACAGCCCCTCAGCCGAATGAGCGAAGCCGGGCTTGTCTGGGTACACTTGACACGTTCAGTCCAGCTCAACAGCCGGCGGGCGCACGTGTAGAACGCGAGCCTCGCTGTGAGTGCGGGGGCGTGCGGGTCCTTGATCCCCGGGACGGGCCGACAGTGTCCACCTCTAGCCCTAACGACTTAGGGCAGATCACCAGGCTAGCCTTGGTCCGCGGCGCAGACCGACAGCGTCCCCTCTCGGCCTTCCCGACTCAGGGCGTGCGTCACCAGTCCGATGAGATGTGTATATTTTGAATGGGGGAGTGGAGAGGGTCGCGTTGAGTCTCACACTTCGAGTGTGGGGGGGGGGGGGGGGGAGGGGACTGCCGCTGGCTGTTCGCGAAGCCGGTGAGATGGACGGCGCCTTCCGTCCTACAAAATGGCATTGGCTAGTGGCCACTATGCAGAACTACAAGACACGTGTTATGCTGTCAAACAGGTAGACTGCAGTCATACATGGGCTCCACCAGGACGGATCGTGACGTGGAGAAAACTCGTCGCGGAACCCACCTTCAAAACAGCTAGAAATGTATCGCATCATCACCCCTACCAAAAGTGTGCTGCAGCGACTTCATGCCAGAAAGAAGGCACGGCAACATGGTCTAAAATCACCAGCTGCTTTTTGTTTGTCTGTAACGGAACAAAATCCGCTGCATCAACATAAAGTAAGGCAAAACTGTTCTCTTAAACATAGCTCACCTGGTGGGATGCCGATGTCCACCTCCCATGGCCTCATAGTCGGCAGCCGACCTACAGTGGGTTGCTGACACCCACCCCAAACCTCATAGTCGTCAACCAGCCTACAGTGGGCTACCAACGCTCATCTTCCGCAGACTCATAGTCGGCAGCCAACCTACAGTGGGCTGCCGACACCCACCCCATAGCCTCATAGTCGGCAACCAACCTATGGTGGGCTGCCGACACCCATCCCAAACTCCAAGGTCGGCAACCAGCCTACAGTGGGCTACCAACGCTCATCTTCCGCAGACTCATAGTTGGCAGCCAACCTACAGTGGGCTGCCGACACCCGTCCCAAACCCTTATAGTCGCCAGCCAACCTACAGAGGGCTACCAACGCTTATATTTCGCATATTCATAGTCGGCAGCCAACCTACAGTGGGCTGCGGACACCCATTCCAAAGCCTCATAGTCGGCAACCAATCTATACTTGGGCTGCCGACATAAGGTGGCATTATCGTCATCATGAGGTGGTACATGCTGAACCTACCGCACAAGATGATTGCCGGAACGGGAACTGTGTGCACCAAGTGAGCCCATAAAGCTCGATTGCACACACCATGATGCGAATACTTGATCGGACTCTGCTGAGCAGTCCGCATATTTCTTGAAGTGGTCAGGGGCAGAAAAATGTCAAAAATGTGGTGTGAAATCAGCGTTTCAAGATTTATGAGCACTGTGACTCAATGGACTAATACAGCGCATAATACACCCGGGCGCCGCGTGTGCTGGCGCCTTAAGCCACATATTTTGGCATGCTTCCAGTTCACAACGCTAAAGAAAAGCAGCGCTGAAAAATGGGCTCTACAGTCACTGTCTTATTTTCCCAACGCACGGCCATGCTATTTCCTGCAACACTTGCATCGTAGCCAATGGGTTGATGGAACAATTCAACCGGCAGTCACTACCCCGAGTATTTTAGTTGATAATTTGCTTATCGGGCCTGATCCGTTCTGTTTACCTAATGACCACCGATGATGTGACAGGCTTTGATAAAACTGGAGTAGTGAAGTGATTCTGGTGCCATATTTTTACCAACAATTAGGGAAATTGGGAGCACTAAAGCGGGAAAGGAATGATATGTAAAGCCATGGACAAAACAGGCTGTTCATCCTAGTTTCCAGTGGAATAAGGTCACTCGGTCATAACTGGTCATGACCTAAGGTCATCATAACGTTACGTGATGCCTGTGCATGGATTATATTGCCGTACGAAATTCTGAAAATCACCTAAAATTTATCGCATTCAATAGAAACATGCATACGCGGGTATCAAAAAACATAAATTGCATGACCATCACCGAGTTCAAGTGAAGTGATGGTGAGGTCTATAAACCTGAAATGGTGAAATGGTAATGGTTTTACTGGTGGTGAGTGAAAATAAAGTCAAATGATGATGCAGTGACTCCAGGATCCCCGGCTGCATCTGCGCCAGTCTAACACCGCTTGCTGATCTTGTGGCGTCCAGTCACAGCAAGATAACGACAGACCTGAACGGCATCAACAGGCAAACTGTCCCTGATATAGGTCGCATGAGAAGTTCACCCGAATGTGTGGAAGTTTTTGGTCCTTGAATATTGTTTTTGTTGCTCCTGAAGAAGTCAACAGTGCTTGTATAAGTGTAACTAATGAGAGAAGTTTACAGTGTTTGTGAAAAAATAAGGTACCATCAACGCCACCTCAGAACAGGTAGCACATTCTTTATAGTGTTCTTCGATTAGAACTAAATATAACGTCTACAAGCAAAGCTCATTGCGAGCGTTCCACTTCAAAAGCGGCCGAAATTGCGTGCGAAGTGAGAACCCCAAATTCAAAAATCTTACCCTGCCTCCCGGGTGCCCAAGCCACGATCGGTGTTGCGTGTTTCTGGCGACATGACGCGGCGCGTTTGCCTCGTCTCCCGTTCAGCAGTCGGAAGACGGCAAAGAACCTGTCCCATCAGGACAGTCGCCCATCGGATGCATGCTCCCGCTCCCAACAGCTCCCAAACTCTCCGAGATTGGGAGCTGTTGCGACGTTTCCAACAACCAGCATGAGGCATCTTAGGTTAAGTCGTTGTACAAGTTCAAACAGCATGAAATAAATATTTGCCCTGATTATTGGCATGTTGGGGCCACTGGAAAAAGAAAGCAGGCATTGACACTGCCCGTTACCTGGCTCACTAATAGCTTGATTGATTAATTGATTAACAGCCTGATCTCTGTGCATTCCAACAGTCGTGAGGAGCTTAAGGTGATGCCGGACATTCTGCATCAGATCGGACGCACGCCGCTCGTGCGCCTCAACAAGATCCCCCAGTCGCTCGGCCTGAAATGCGAAATGCGTAAGTGCGGAGACCGTGGCGTCATGTATGCACGTCCCTCTGGTCGTAAGTGTGGAGACCGTGGCGTCATGTATGCGGATCGCCGCGTTCGCGAGCTTTGCTACTGCTCACGATCAACACCCATCATACGCCCTGCGCAGGCTGTCCCATCCGTTCGCGACTGTTCATGGCCAGCAGTGGATATTGATTGCCTGAAATTAAAGTACCGTACCGTCTTCATTGCTCAGCGCAAGCCGTTCTTTTACTACCTTTTGTCGCCTGGGAATGGAGAGAAATGACATTCGGTTTATCATGCAGGGACGCGTGAATATCCTAAACAGGTGGCCATCAAACCCATTGGAATGCCGATTTGTTCCTTGCCTTATATTGACCTACCTGCAGAAAAGTCAATCCTCAGTTTACCACGAGCAATTAGTAAACTCAAACTGTCATCAAGTAAGTCGATGCGCCCTAAAACCCCAAATCATCATCATCATCATCATCAAGTAATCGTTTGAGTCGGTTATACTTTGAAAAAAAATACTTTGTGTTATGAATGTGGCCATGAGCACTGCTGCAAACGTCGAAAATTGTAATGGCATTGAAATGATTGTTTGATATGTCTGTTTAGCCCATCCGACCTGGTACATACAGGCCCAATTAATTTCAGCATAAAAAACCATAAGAGGGCTTTTGGACATGATTCGGATGTGTGCGCATGTATGTATCTGTGACTCAGTGTGCAACTACATATATTTGTCACTGTGATCTTAAAAGGTTACTTTAATTCAGAACCTCATATAACGCTGAAACGCCCTTTTGATTTGGTAGACGTTGACATTATCGTTGTTTTTCTTTATGGACTGTCCGGGTTCGCAAAGCTCAACGCTTTGAGGCCTTTGTCAACATCTCACCAGCATGGTATCGCCTTTTCACTAACCGAGAATTGGAACGTACCTAATCATTTGAACCTGCGGCAGTGGTGAAGTGCGAGTTCTTCAACGCCGGCGGCAGCGTCAAGGACCGCATCGCCCTTCGCATGGTGAATGACGCGGAGAAGGACGGCATCCTCAAGCCCGGCTCGACTTTGATCGAGCCAACATCTGGAAACACAGGTCCGTGGTCACGCCACAGCCGTCATGAATATGTATCCGCCGTTTGTATCCGCTGCCTTCAACACCCCACATCGACACACGTGCAGGTGCCATGGCCGGTTGTGCACGTGTGTGTTCATATTCATATTCACTTTGAATGCTCGGCATGTTGTTTAAGATTTAGTCCAAAGCTTTAAATTATATAAATCTCCGGGATCAGAGCCCACGCTAAGCACTGCTTGTGTGAGCCCAAACCCCACCATCCGGTCGTGAAACTCAAGATCAACAACAACATTTTGTGACGAAAGTTTAACGTGCATCAAAGCTCAGTACTGTCCGCACTGCACTCTGACGTCACCTGACCTCTAGCGCGATCGCCTGCACCAGTCGCGGGCTATCCCAGTCAAGGGCAGATAGCGAGCGCCTAAAGATACACGACCGGATGGCTGAATCAGGGGATTAAGGGGACCAGGGGAATCAACCGCCCGGCTACGGGGGTTGAATCACAAAGCAGACGTCATAACCTAGTAATCCATCAGGACGGACATTGACGATGCGGTGCTTTAGATCCACAAGCACCAGAGGCTTGCATGCACGTTGTTGACAAACAAAACCGCTCACAGATCACATGGGTCATGGCCGTGCATTGATGACGCCGCAGATGCGTGCATTGATGACGCCGCAGAGCGTCACTCTCTGCTCCTGTTTCCGGCGCGGTGTGGCGCCAGCCTGTTACTGGCATGTAATTAGATCCAGGTGCACCTGCTGATGCACCTGTGCTGATGGTTTGTTTCCCGCCCCGATGGGGGGGGGGGGGGGGGACCGCTCAGCTAGCGCGAGCTGACGTCACCTGCCCGACCGCTCTGCAGGAATCGGTTTGGCGCTGGCCGCCGCTGTCAAGGGCTACCGCGCCATCATCGTCATGCCGGAGAAGATGTCCAACGAGAAGGTGGCGACGCTGCGCGCACTGGGTGCGGAGATCGTGCGCACGCCCACCTCTGCCTCGTGGGACTCACCCGAGAGCCACATCTCGGTGGCGCAGCGCCTCCAGGTAGGTTATCAGCGGCCTGCCCACCGGCGCATTGTGGGTAGAACATGTACCAGCCTGGCATAGCCGAATACAACACGGTATTTCAGGAAAATGCGACGTGCATTAATGCGCCAACGTTTCATTGTATGTCTGTTACGCACAATAGCGACGTGTCCTTGACAAGCAGTGAACACTGATCATTCTTATTTCCGTGAGTGGGAACAGGTTTTCACTCACTCCGGCAGCGCAAGACAAGCAGGGCTGAAATCGTGGTTAGAACCAGAGACCCGTACGCTACCAGCTGCAAGTACAGTCCTCACAGTGTTTCGATCGCGTCTCACTGGTGTGTGATGTGACGGAACCGGCAGTAACCCGCTGCTGCGGGCTGACCTCGCAGAAGGAGATCCCGGACGCCGTGATCCTGGACCAGTACCGTAACCCGGGCAACCCGCTGGCGCACTACGACACCACCGCGGAGGAGATCCTGCAGCAGTGTCAGGGCCGCGTCGACATGGTAGTGGCAGGTGAGTCCGAGACCGTCACGGCTCGGTGCCGGGCCGCGCCCCCCCCCCCCCCCCCCCTGACCTGACCGCACTCGACGGTGGGTCGCACGAGTGTCTCTCTGCCAGCGGCCATCCCAGATGTCGGCGGTCTGCTGAGGCTGGGCGGTGTTGTACTGTCAGACTAAGGCCGGAATCGCCACTCTGAACGAGCGCCTCATACTGACGCTCGCTCTGATGGAAAGAAGAGGTTCATGAAACCAGACGAGCTCCTTCAGCGTAGTTAAAAATCCTCGTTCGTCATCCTCTTTCATCACGGTCAAACACCAAAGTTTGAGCGTTTTGTGCATCATGTTATGAGGGATACAACATGCCCATTTTCTCATGTCGATGCTACTTGCGGATGTCAACGCCGGCTCCGTTGTTGTCAGGCACGGGCACGGGCGGCACGGCCACCGGCGTGGGCCGTAAGCTTAAGGAGAGGTGCCCCGAGTGTGTGATCGTCGGCGTCGATCCGCACGGCTCGATCCTGGCACACGAGCCGCATGAGGTGATCGACGCACAGTTCTACGAGGTGGAGGGGATCGGCTACGACTTCTACCCGACCGTGCTAGGTCAGCGCTCAGTTGGTTTCCGTCCTCGGGTGTCCTGGCGGTGGCTGAGATAGCGGTGGCTGTAGCGGGGATGGCGTGGTTTGCGCATCGGCCCGGGGTCGGAAGTCTGTGTCAGGGAGATTGAGTATTTGTTTTTTGCTATGTTGAGGGCACGCGAATCGGTGTTTGCATGAGTGTCATGACCAATGGGCGAAACCACCCCACTCGGAGTGAAGACAATTCTTCGATCAGATTTAGACTGTAGAGAACACACTTTTCCCGTGCTGTGTACACCGTGATACAGTGAAAAGTATGACGACGGCCATTTGCCAAAACATCATGACTGAGCCTGCGGCGCAGACCTGCTGCCTGGCCTGCCACACCAGCGTGTCGGGTTTGCCCGCACTGCCTCGTCTGGCGCCCAGAGGGTGCCTGGGGCGCCGGCCGGCTCCGGTCCACGGACGACCGTCGACTAACCGCGTGCCCGTGCCGGCTGGCTGCAGACCGCTCGGTGGTGGACGTGTGGGTGAAGGGCGAGGACAAGGCGTCGTTCCTGATGTCTCGTCGGCTGATCCGGGAGGAGGGTCTGCTATGCGGCGGCAGCAGCGGCACCGCCGTCGAGGCCGCCTGCCAGGTGAGCAGCGCCGCTCAGCGCCCGGTCAGCTCCCGGCCAGCGCTGCAGCGCTGGGCGCCGACTGCAGCGCCGGGCGCCGACTGCAGCGCTGGGCGCCGACTGCAGCGCTGGGTTCCTACTGCAGCGCTGGGTTCCGACTGCAGCGCTGCTGGCGCCGCCACTGTTACGTCATCCTCAGAGGGCGTAGTTTTCGCGACAATTCACGTGACCAGAGGCTAAGGGGCGAAATGGTAAATTCGGGCGAATTGGTAAAGCGCTGGAATAGGGTTTTGAGCCAATGCATGGTCTGTTGGCTTCCTCTGAAAAGGGACATTGGGTTGGGACGGAGTGGAAAACACGAGTGTAAATATCTTATCTGTGATATCCATCAGCACAAATCGGAGCACGTCTAAGCTGTTCAGCGTGTATGCTATCTCTGTTTTTTTTTAGACCTATGACATTTAGTGGCGTCATGAAGTGACGTCGTGAAGAGCGACCACACAAATGATAGGCCTTTATCTAGACCAAAGCAACACCAGCATTGCTAGCCATCCACTGACCTGGGGCGATATCAACTAATAATGTCTTCAGAAAGCGCAGGTGGCTTCAGATAACCAGCTCGTGTGTTGCAAAAGCAGGGCAGCCGCTCCCGTCTGACCGGCTGGAGTGACATCTGACGCTGGTGCCCGCTCCAGGCCGCCCGTGACCTGCCCGAGGGCTCCCGTGTGGTGGTAATCTTGCCGGACAGCGTGCGGAACTACATGACCAAGTTCCTGGACGACGAGTGGATGGCCGAACGGGGCTTCTGCGACGCGGTTCCGACGAAATACGAATCCTGGTGAGGCCCAGCTCCCGGGACGCACTCCAGACGAAGTACAGGTCCTGGCGAAAGACATCACCCAAACGAAACATGAGCTCTGTTTCATGGCGTATCTGGTCAGACATGCCGTGCACGCGATAGCAGCGTCACGGTTAGAGACAATACGCAGGCGGTTCGCAAGCCCATATGATAGATACCATTCCGAGGAACACCACTTCTAATGAGAAATGCGGTACGACCAACTCCTGCGGCCTGCACGAAATGACACGGAGGGCTGTTGAGTCTGAGCGACAGGCGTGTAGTTTAAGACATTGCACAGGCATGAAATAATTTTCGGGCCACTTTCCTTGTAAGTGTTGTATGCACACGTTTCGGCCACTCCAGCCGTCCTCAGGTGTAATTATGTCCTAATAAGGACCGGATAGTGTTCGGCTTCCAGTCATTCACGATTGACGACAAAATTTTTCTCCTTCAAATTCTGGGATTCAAACTAGAGCCATCTGATTACGAGGCCAGCGTTGCAACCCTTAGGTTACCGAGGACACAAACGGGGGCTTATTAACGTTAGGGAAGATATATACGTAGTGCTCCACGCTGGGGAGGATTGAAGTCTTGTTAAGCCTACTCCGTTTGTGATGATTGTATCCCAACTTAACGTCTCCTACCAGATCACAGATTGCACGCCAGCTACGACCATTTGCCATCCGATTGGGTTGCTCGCACGCTTCTCAGAGTTCTTCTTCCTCGCCTCACGGGCCCTGTCAGACATCACGTGACTTACCAACCGCCTCTGCCCCGGGGCGGTGTCACGTGACACGCCGCCGCGCGGCCGCCAGGTGGGGGCAGCAGCGGATCGCTGTACTGGACGTGTCGACGCCTCTGACGGTGCTGCCGAGCGTTTCCTGCCAGGACGCCATCGATATCATGAACCACGAGGGCTTCGACCAGCTGCCCGTGGTCGACCAGCATGGGTGAGGGTCATGAAGTTGATCAGTATGGACCAGATCATGCCAGAACGCTGGCCATCCGACCAGAGAGGTCTTACACCACGGAGGAGTCGGCCGGCCAGAGGGAATCATTCCATAACGGCTGATCTCCTGGCTGAAGACACTGTTAGCAATGCTCAGGAGCGTCAGCTACGCGAGGGTGGGCAGAGCGGGATGGGGTTGATGAACCTAAGGCGAGGTAGCCACAGCAGGCCCAGTCAGCGACCTGGATAGGCTCGATGATCAAGAGTTTTGGTCTAGTTGCGGGGATTGAACTCACAGGAAGGGTTGGGCTGGAAGGAGAGTTCGCCTCATTGCCAGTCGGCACCGCCAGTGGCCGGTAACGATTGGTCACGATGGTGCCGATGAATAAAGGTTTTCAATCGGGAGGAGGTGTTTCATTGGCAGGAATGGGGCCGTTGGGATTGATAAGGTTGACTAGTCCTAATGGGAAACCATTTTGCTCTTAACGGTGATATGTGCTCAACACGATTCAGTCCTTATTCAGTATTCAGTACCCACAACGGATGAGATGCTATGTTGGATGACGGCATACCGGCAGGAGCTTGAGACTGGTCCTGCGTGATGATACACCCCATTACCTTTGGACTGGTCACCGCGTGTGTTAGTCCGGCCGGCCCGGCGCTGACGCCGGCCGCCGTCCTTTGCAGGGACGTGCGGGGCATGGTGACGCTGGGGTCGCTCATGTCGAAGCTGGTCAACAGGAAGGTGGAGCCGTCCACGCCGGTCGGCGAAGTGAGTTGCCATTCGTCTGCGCGCCTCCCGAACCCTGAATGCACTTGCTCGTACACACTGAGGACAGTGTACTCCCGACGTAGGACCATCCAGACGCCCGGCTGAAAGCCGATATGCGTGGCTCGAGGTCGGCCCTGGGTCGGGCCCGCGACAGAATCTCGCCGTCACTCGCCTGTTCCATGACCACTACTCCGTCCAGTCCGGCAGCTGAGCTCATCGGGCGTGACCTGCGCGCTGCAGGCCTTCGCCCCTCTGCAGGCGTGCGGTGACCGCGCTGGCGCCCGGCTGTTGCAGGTGCTATACGGCCAGTTCCGGAAGGTGTCGCTAGATGGCACGCTTGGCAGCCTCTCGCGCATCCTCGAGAAGGACCACTTCGCCCTTATCGTCCACGGCCAGAAAATATGTAGGCACGCCGCGCAGCACGGGCAGCGGCTCACGAGCGGTTCAGGTGCACAGTGTTTCGCTTAAGTGGGTCACAACAGGGTGATCTGGATGAATGGGTTCTAAATTGACCGAGTGTCCTGCTCTCGTGATGTCGAGCACATTGACCTTGCCATTAAAACCTAATCGGACGTATTCCGGTTATCTGGTAGCGTTTACCGTGGTCAGCAGAAATCGTACGTGCCGTCGCCGCGGGGGCGTCCCAGCGCTGTTTGTACTCACTCGGCGCCACGTTCCAGTCGTGGACAAGGCTCAGACGGAGACGAAGGAGGTCATCATCGGCGTGGTGACGCAGATCGACCTGTTGTCCTACATCATGGATGCTGAGACGCAGGCCGAGCCGAGCCGGGCCACCTTCACCTGCTCCTAGTGGCAGCGCTTGGCCGGCGGGAAGTCGGCCGCCGCCCGGCGCCGGAGCCGCCCAGCGGGCCGCCTCCGAACGACGCGTCTACGCGTGGATTGCATCCGAATATACTGGATATTTGCGAGTCGGAATATACTGGATTTTGAGAGTGACTGTCTCTGTTCGGAGCTTGCGAATAGGCAGCGCCCGTTGCCGGCAGCCAGGAAGGAACTTCAACGCATGTGAGGCTTTTATTCCAGCGTGAGAAAACAGCGCACGATCGTTGACACTCCTGACACACTTTGTATTGTGAGCCGTCACGCACAGACGACCGTCATATCACAGTTGGCCCAATCGGACGAATTCGAGTCAGTTCAACGACCGGGGCACCAACGGAGACCGTCGCATACTGCAGGTCGCGGCGGAGCCCATTGCACAAGCGGTCTACCTCCGAGCATCTTCACGGCGGTCAGCCCGCTCAGACAGCCACCGTCCTCCGAGGACTCGTGGTAAGGTCACGGCAGATGGGCGACGGGCCCTCGCCGGTGGCGCCGCCTACCGGAGGGCGTGCAGGGCCTCGGCGCAGGCGCGAATTAGCCCCACCAGCTGGGCGGAGGCCTCGACCGAGGCGCACGAGTCCAGCTGGCTGGCCGCCCAAGTTAGTCGGCTGCGCACGGCGGCCGCCGCCGCACGGACGGCATCATCCTCGGTGCCCGGTTGCTGCAGAGCGGCGGCGCCGGCCGGCCGCGGGTCTTCGCCGGCGGCCGGCCGCGGGTCTCCGTCGCCCACCGGCCGGCGCAGGGGTGCCGCCTCGGCCGCGCCGCCGCCGGACGCCGGGCTGGCCGCCGCCGCCCCAGCTCGCGCAGGTCTAGGCGACGAGAACTGCGACTCAGCCACCTGCCGGCGGGCCGCCTCGGCGCTGGAGGCTGCCGAGGTGCGGCGCGTCAGTCAGACAGCGGCGCGAGCGGCACGACAGGGCGGCCGTGCGACGGTCGGCAGAGCTCTGCTATCGATGTCAAAACTACGTAAGACCAGCACAGGCGTCACGAACAATTTTATCCACACCGTATTGGAAACGAACAGTGTCAGGTATCCCATAGTTATGAGGATGTATACCCCTCTACTCCCCAGGCTGCAAAGGACCAAGATGCTTGACAATAGTGACTGGGGATCCAGAGTAAAATAAAACGACGATGACCGCGAAAACCACATCATTTCCAAATATAACCAACGCCTTGAACATGGTGTTTACGACGTAGTAGTTCAGCGGCCCTAGCCGCCAGATACCGCGGGCTATGGTTGACTTCTGCCCACCTGGGTTGTCTTTCTCAGTGTCAGCGTCCACCTCCACGCAGGCCACGCAGTAAAGCTCGTCTTGCTTGTCACGGAGGTAGATGGTCTGGGGTGGAACGAAAGACAGTTCAAAGCGCGGGCAACACAACATAAAAGAACCCCCGTAGGCGATCAATTTCCGTTCAGGAGGAGAAAACCGTCCGACCTCAAGACAAAACACTGTTGTTAATGGCATCCCACTAAAGACACAGCCAGTCTGGTACAAACGAGCGACGAAAATTCACGCCAGCATCAAGAATGCAATCTTAACAGACTGTGACCATTACAACAGCATCATAAGCTAAATGGGGTTTTTGCATTATGGGTTTGGTGATGGTTTCAAGCCTACACACAAAACACATCAGTGGGCACTGCAAATTTACGTTTTAAAAATATTCCAAATAAACCCACCACTGCCTAGCAAAGCTGTGAAGAAAATACCGCAGCCTACGCAGCGCCAAAGCTCGATCAAGTTGCCACGGCACTCAGGGTTTTATTCAGATTACAAGCATGAATGAATAAAAGGGAGTATTTTGTAAAGGCTGCACTAGCAAAATTTTTGAATTCATCCAATCACAACTTACCGTGCACTTTGGGCATGTCTCGTTCAACATTTTGTACCCTTTGAGCAGGTAGGAGCCCATAAGACTGGAAATTTTGTCCGCTCTCTCCCGTTTGGCTTGGATAACCTTCATTTCCGCCTCTGAAGGCGGTGACCAGTCTAAATCGTCATCCATTTGGATGCCTATCACCAGGAGTCAGATGGTGTTTCTTCAGAGCAGACTAGTGCTCCACTCTGCACAGTCAGAGCCCACTTCTGAATCAGACGAGTTCATCATTAACAATTTGAAATAAGACAGTCAAACTAGAATTGATCATATTGCAAGCACAGGAAACTGCAGGTTGTTTAGACATCATTATAATAAAAGGTTTCAATCAATTTACTCCCAATGAAAGAGTTCATAGCCTGGGATGTTGGCATCAAACCATCCAGTATGCAAAATGACTTGGGATGACAGCATATGTCTTTGAGCCAGTGTCCGCACAATTGGGGTGTGCTGCTCAAAAACAAAACCAAATCAACTGACATTATGTGAGCAGGAATCCAACTCCCAAGAACATACCAGAACAGATTCTGCCAGAATAGAATTCAATGAATGCTTTCAGGTTTAAATCATTACTTTTCTTTTGGCTAGAAGGGGCAGGATGGCAATATTGTCTGACTGACATCTGGCGCATGCCGGGTAACTCTGGGCACAGCCATACAGTAAACACTGCCAGGTATCATCCTAAGGTAAGACTTGATGTATAACAGCAGTGGTTTGAACAAACATGATGGTTCTTCCATCATCATGCCCCCAGAACCAGAGGTCACTCACTCAATAATGGTTATTGAGCCTATCCCAGCTGATGCTGAGGGAGCTGCACTGGCTGAAATTGTCTTAAGAGGGGAGATACAATGCTAGGATTTGACAACAAGGCAGGTGGCTAAAGTGTGGGTGAGGATGTGGGATTTGGACTCCGCAATAAGACCTCTGATGATTTCATGTTGTGTGCTACAACATAAGTTTTACCATAGAGAGAGACCATGAAATGGCCCATTTTTTAACATAGTGCATAGTTGGCACACTTCAGGGCATAGATAACCAATGTTTCAGGAAACAACAGTGTTATAAAGATAATTTCTGGCAAAAATGCTACCAAAACATTTTCTGTGTAAAATTAATTGGAAAATTCAGCACAACTCTACTTGCCCTGGCTTTGGCGCATGCAGGCATGAGGCTCAGCTTACTCGTTCCAATTAAATGCCCCTTCAGTGAGTGGATTTATTGCAGACTGTCTTACAGATCCCCAAGGTTACAGACTGTCATTGCCAACATTTGTATCTCACTCTGCAAAATAGCACTGTAAATCAACTGCCATTTTTAAGATATGACATACCTTAAAAAAGGATAAAACAGGAATATGTTGGGGATGCTATACCACCTCACAAACATCCATGAACCAATGGCAGCGCCAACGCTGACCTCGCACTCAATAAAAACGTCAATTCCAGCTAAATTAAGTACGCCAACCAAACACTTTTTCAGCACATGCACCAGATACCTATCATTTCTTCTATCACCTATATATAGCTCTATGTCATATATGACGCCAATATATGCAGCTTCCCCCAGGCCCCCACCCACACGTTATCTTTTCCAACGGGGTGGGAATGGGCGCTGCAGCTGTCAGCTGATTGTAGGGACGTTCGCGAACTTTTCCAGCTGATTCTACGGTGACGTCAAAAAGCCACAAAGTCACTACCAGCCTAATTATAGTTTCTGCGTCTGATTCCGGCAAGTTAACGCGTGCCTGCGTTACCGGTTGAACACCCTTCGCCCGGTTGGGGTGGAGGCCTCAATTTCACCCCTTGGGATCTTAGAAGCTGAAAGAGCTGTAGACACCAGATCCGCAGGGTGTGTTAACCTGTACGTGAACACACTGGTGGCAAAATTTGGGACTCCTGGGTTATAACCTTCGGGACAAATCAGGTAAAATAGTTAAAATTCCAACTTGGTGTCCAAAGTGCATCAGAACCTAGAAGTGTTCTAGTTAAAAGATCGCTGGTGCTCATGATAGATCAATGAGGTTGCTTGGCCTTTCGGAAGTCATGGTGACCAGAATAAACAAAGCTGCTTTGAGTTTTGCCTTTGAATAAGCGTCAAAGTTAACGCTATGAAGTATGCCCTTCTTCAGGGACCTATCCTGACCTTTAAGAAGTCTATGAAAGATGCAAATACGGTTCCTGCTATCAATAAGCTCGAGAGAGTACCAGAAACTACTCCAAACAGCAGGTTCAAGAGTAATAAAACAGGCTGGTTTTGACCTAGGTCTGACCCTCATACCTGACCCTTATTCACTGGAATTTGGTCATTCAATTGTTGCATTGCCTAATACACCATTTCAGAGATATATGACTACGCCACCCAGTCCCCGCTGTATTGGGGCCGCTTGCGTTGCCAGTAGCGTGGCTTCCAGCATGCGACGTCCCGAGAATAATAATTATTAGCACGCGATAAGAGAGATAATGTGTACAATCCTGATCGCTACAAACAGGTTATCAGGTCTCAGTGCATCAGACATTTTTGATGACGTCATCTATCTTATTAGGACGATCCCCCCATCTCAGTTCTGGTACCGGGGGCGCAACAGTGATTTTTAAAAGTATGGTGTGCGATTTAAAATACCTGTAGTCGTGCTCGGCGGTTGTAACCATGTGCACACGATGTCATCGTGCAAATATGATCGGAGAGCAATGCAATTCGATCACTGGCCGACATCACCTTTTGGGTGCATTTGCTAGCGGTACTAGCAAATCAGCCTTTGTCGATGACGTCAGCTATTTTATTCGAACTATGCCCCGTCCCTGCTTTGGTGAGACGGCCACAGCGTGGATTTTCAAATGCGTGACTTGTAACTCATAGTACCTTTAGTTGTGCTTGGCGTGTGTGACCGTGTGCCCATAGTGTTATTGTGGGAGAAGGTTCAGACGACAATGCTCTTCGCTATCTGACGAAATGACCTTTTTACTCAAATCGACTCGACGAAGTAGCGTAATGGACAGTTTATGGCACCGCGGGAAAAGTACTGATAAGCGAGGGTCAAGAAAGCTACTGTGCACATTTGCTACAGCTGCTATAAAGCTATCAGCTGCCAGAGCGTCAGTCCTTATCCATGACGCCATTTATCTTATTCGGACTATCCCATCCAAGTTCTTGTAAGAAGGCCGAAGCAGCGATTTTTAAACGTACGGCTTCGACCCAGTCTCGACCTTGGCCCCGGCAGTTGCAGTTGCAGTTGCAGTTGCAGTTGTTCCCGCCGGCGCGCTCTGACCCATCCCGCTCGGCCGCGGAGGGTTTAGACCAGCAAGAAAGCGGCCAAGCGGCCTGACAGTTCTTCAGCAGCGGTGGTGCTCCGACGACTGTGACGAGATGTCTGCCTCGGTGTCAGCTTTTAGTGATGCAGAGTTAAGAGGCAAGAGGTCTACCTGTCTAACGCCATTTATTGACACTTCATCGATGATGCTGTCAACGGGCTTTGGGGGAAAGTGACGGGAAACGGTCTCGTCTTTGAAAGAAGGATTGCAAACTTTGGGCGAGACCTTTGAAAAAAGATCAGCTGATTGAAGAAATGCAAGGCAAAACCCGATCGCGTCAGGATCGGTCGGTGAATGGGGAGAAGCGGGTGGAGGACAGGAAGCGTCACAGGCCGCACCTTAGCCTGATTCTTCGGGGCGAACAAATTGGCAACGGAGAGGTGGAGAAAACTTAGAAGACATGACACTTAAGATAGCGCGCAAAATCTCCCCTTGCAAATGCGTGGTATAAAACGGTTTCTCGAAAATCTACCGGCTGTTCAAAGAAAACACCGATATACTCATTCGTGAACATGGACCTCAGGAATGAACCTTACGAAGACCGATTCAGTCTGAGAGGAAGAGAGGTGGCCTCAAAGTGAGAAGTGTGCCATTATGGCTTCACGACGCGCTCAGTTGCTGCCATAGTGTGTCATCTGCATCAATACCTCACCCTGGCATGCACCTTACCCTGGGAAGAAGCGAAGAGTGTTCCTGGACGAGCCACTCATCAAGTCAAGAAGGGACATTTTCATCAACAATCCGCCTGAGATGAAAAGGCTGACCGAGTCGGGACGGTACTCGCCAGAAATGGAACTCCCTGCTCCAAAATGGTGAAGCATTCACCATCCATCGAGGTCTTCTCCATGCAGCAACTCAACCTCTTCATGCGGCGAGTGCAGGCGGCGGCGACGCCTCAGCTGCTTCAACCGTGGATGCTGTCTCCGTGGCGTATCCAGCCTCGGCCTACTCAGCCACTTGCCCGTCTGCTGGGTTGGTCGGCGGCCCGACGTATATGAGAGAGAAAGAAAGAGAGAGAGAGAGAGAGAGAGAGAGAGAGAGAGAGAGAGAGAGAGAGAGAGAGGAGGAGAAGAGAGAGAGAGAGAGAAGAGAGAGAGAAGAGAGAGAAGAGAGAGAGAGAGAGAGAGGAGGAGAGGAGAGATAGGAGGGAGGAGAGAGACGGATGAGAGATAGGAGATGGAGAGAGAGGTGAGCTAGGAGAGAGAGAGAGACGGGATTAAGGGGAAAAGGAGAAGAGGAAGATGACGTAATTCATTTCAGGGCATTTGCTATAATGGCAGTGATCTGGCTATGGCTTCGAGTATCAAGTCATATAGCACATGTGCACAATATACATGTGAAGTAGGATACTACCAAGTTGGTAATATATCTGTGTTTATAAGAGTGGTTATATGGGGAATACCTGATTTGCGTAGTCGCACACCACATCAAAACGTTTGGAGTGGGCTTGCGCTCCTGATATTTCTGCCGGAGATCGCCACTCGCTGCTTCGGAAGCATATCTCTATGCATGGGGACGCAGGTGTTGCGCCTGCTTGGCAGTGAGTCCCGCATGAAAAACCGGTGCTCAGTATTCTAGCAATGGTCGGATGTAAGTAATCCTTCACACGAACAAGCTGTTCCTGCGGTGGATGGTACTTCTTCATTATGTAGAGCATATACAGAGCTTTCGATGCTTTGGTTATGGTTATATACGTCGTGCGGTGGAGGCAACTGCCGTGAAGGTGGTGGTGTGGCTCCGGCAGATGCGTGCGGGCTGGCACAGCGCCAGTGAAATCATGCGATTCAGCCCTCGACCGTGGGCTGTACAGTGCTGACCCTTTCAGCTAAAGCTACGCCCTTGGTCCCATGGTCCTCTGGTCCGTACCTTATGTTGGTCAGGCAGCATCAGCGCCGAACGACCGGCTCGGCGTCGGTCTGGACCCGACTATTAATTCCCTAAGTCAGCACAAGGCCGGGGCCCGTGATTTACATTGATTCGGGGGCCTCTGAGCCAATGAGGGCCCCCAAGTTGACCAGGAGTCCACAATGTGTGACATGGGGCGCTGTGTTGGTAAGGAGCTCCGGGTCGATTAAGGCAGTGCTCGAGGGACCCAAGACCCTCGGGGGACCGAGAGACCCAGCATACCATCGAAGATGACAATCAAAAGACCCAATCAGAAGGCTGAAGGACCCGAAGAGCTGGTAGCAGATCGCTTCCCAGTCCGCAGGGCCATTACCTCAAACGTCAATCAGGTGGACCCTTGCATCGATTGAACTCCCGTGGGACAATGCGGGCCTTAAGCCAACCACAGATCGCCGACACCCAGCAGTTAGCTGTGTGCCAGTATCAGTGCAGTGGGAGAATTTCCAGAGGAAGAAGGCCAGGACCGCGATTCGTATTGTTTTGGGGTGCCTGAAAAAAGGAAGGACCATGTGCTGGTCAGGGACCCACGGCGTTGAAAAGGGGGCCCTCCATCCGCAAGCCCCGTCTGGTCCCTTCTGGTCCTGCATGGTCCAGTCAAGTCCCTTCCGGGTCCATCCGGTACTATCAAGTCCCTTCCTGCTCGGTTTCCCCTTATTTGTTCTATTTCGCCCGGCTCCGTCTCCATTCATGACGTCCATTTGGTTCTGCCTGATCAGGTCGTTTCTGTCGGAGTCTGTGTGATCACATTCTGTCCCACCCGACTCCTTTTACCCCCTTAAGATGTTGTTCGATACCGTTTTTTTCCCGCCCGGTCGTTTCATCCCGTCTGACTTGGTCCGGTCCCATTCGCTCTTGTCCGGTCCGTTTCAGTAACATCTAGTCTCCTCCCATTGGTCCGTCCGGCATTTATTATCCCATTATCCCGTTACGTTTCATCCGGTTTCGGCCATGTATCGCCGATCATCGACATAGTTGTAACCTCAGGCACCGCTGTTCTATGGACGAACGGCTGTCAGGAAAAGCCGCCTTGGCGTTAGAATGACTACAATGCAGCCTGCAGACACACGGCAAAGGCAATTCACTATTTTATTACGACGGCAGCCAAAACATCGGAAACCGGTGGTAAAGCTTCGTTATTGCTTGCACATTTCAAAACAAGTGTCGAAGACAGACTCTGCCTTTTGGGGCTGATTTCTAACGGTCCCGGGCGGCCTGGAGTTGGACACGGACATTGAGAAGCCAAAGCCTGTTCCCTGCCGTGTTGTTGGGGTCCGACATCGTGCCGGCCACGATGGAGAACACAGCCTGACCCTGAGTCGTGTTTTGGCTGACGTCGAACGACCCAGGAAACGGCCGTTAAGCTGAATTGGCCTCGCCGGTGGCGGGTGTCAATGGTGGGTGTTGATGGTGGGTGTCTTCCAGTTAAGGATCGTCTGCCTTCGAGGTGGTTGTGTTACAGATAGCAGTCGGCGGTCTCGATGGGTGGTGTAGGCATGGCATTGCCTAATTTGAATTTAAGAAAACCCCAAATACTAAAGGAAACTTCAAATTTCAAAGCGCAGCTGAGCTGCACGTCATCGGTGTAACCATTAACTACATCGCTCCCTGTTACGCTGCTCGTTGTCGACGTAACCATTACTAACAGCGTTACAACACTTTGGTGGATTACAATCCTTGACTTCGGGCCGGAGAGCAAACATCGATAGGATTATTGTTCTCTTGCACGACGGATGCTAGTTCCAGCGATGAAGCCGCAGGTCGATTGGGGTTGTAGATTTACAATCCTCCACGCCCGTGTGCTCGTGCGTGTTTGCGCTTTGCGTTTCATCTGTACGCGTTCCTTTGATGGTACGCGTTCGCAAATGCGGCTTACCGTCCTCTACCACTGCAAAACATCAGCATAAAACCGCCGTGCCGGACCAGACATCGTCGCTCCAACGCTCGACCAACCATGAACCGCTGGGAGCTTCGCGTGAGCACGCGCCGCCTGCGGGGAAACACCAGGGAACCGGCTGGCCGTGGGCGGCCGGTCCGGCTGCGCGGCGCCGGGCCGGCTCGCGAGCCGATGCCTTTCACCGGGCGCCGGCCGCGCAGCGCCGCCGCAGTGGCCTGTGTCGACTGCTGAGCGACGGGAGATGTCGCCAGCCCGGCACGCCGTCCGCGGTGAGAGGCGGTGAGAACGTGCGTCAGGCGGTGAGCGCGGGGTGGACGGCGGTGAACGGTGCTGCGGGACGTGAGACCGGAGCGCGGGCTGTGAGCAGTGTGAGGGGGCGAGGGTGGGACTTGAGGCGAGCAGTGTAGCCTGTCAGGCGGTGAGTGTACACTGCTGAAAGGCTAGAGCTCTACAGAGGCGGGGTGCACTGCATTGGAAAGGGATGCCTTGAATGAGAGGCACAATGTAGAGGCTCAACGCAGATCGGAGCTGCGCAGTCTCTGGTAGGTAGCAGTTGATCTTGGGAAAACCGTGTCGTGGTCACTTACGTAACCATCTCAAACTCTCACCAACTGCATAACGCAGGAATGCAGTTGATCCACACCGCTGCGCAGGCGCATCGCAGCGCTGCAGTGACATGCAAATGCATTGTTCAGGTCCGTACTTTTTATTGCGAGTTCACAGGACCGAAGCGGAAACGTATGCTCTTTCAGAGCGCTGCGCACCGCTCAGCCGGAAGACATGTATTCCGGTACTCAAGGTCAGGCGCCGCCCCAAAGCTCGGCCGACCGAGCAAGGCGTGCTGGTGTGCGACTGCGACGCGCCACATCGCTCCGCTCCTAATGCCACGAAGCCGTCAGCGTTGCGCTATCATCACGAGTTCATCGCACGTCTGTGTGGCGAACGTGCGTGTGTCCTTGACGCGTGGCGAAAAACACGCTGCTGCTGACGCGCGGTGAAACCAGTGTGGGACATACGCAGGTGTGGTCGGGACGCCTGGCACAGTTCGTAATTCTTCGTAACCAGAGCATAGGACATACAAAACTTTGAGCGTTAAGGACGCCTTTTCAATCGAGTCATGGCTGCACTTCACGGGCGACGAGCCTTCCACGTGCTCGGAAAATGGAGAGGGAATGTAAGATTTGTCCACTAGTGGATGGGTATTTCTGTGGGGTTTTGGTTGGATGGGTCTGTTGGGTTTGAGTTGACTGGGTCTGTTGTGTTTGAGTTGACTTAGTCTGTTGGGCTCGGTTTGGCTGGTCTTTTGGGTTTGGGTTGGCTGTGTCTGTTAGGTTTGAGTTGAATGAGTCCTCGTCCGGACCAGAGCTCGGCAGAGTCGGTATCCCAGCCACATGTGAACGAAGCCGGCGGATTCAGTTGGGTGACATATGAACGAACGTGTGACGTTTGTATGCATATTGGGAGGCCTGAAGGTCACCAGGAGGTCCATCATTAATGGGGCACGCCCACATGGGGTGGGACAATCCACATGAAAATCGCCCTCCCCTCCCCTCACTCTGCGGCCGTCGGTGCTTGGAAAATATAACTTGGGATGTCGCTAGATTGCGAATTCCAGGGTTCTGTGTGTGCTCAGCGCGCAAAACAGACCGGCAGGGGAGCGGGTGGGGGGGGGGGGGGGGGAGCGGGATTTTAAAAATGCCGCGGCGGAAAAACACAAACAACAACCAGCTCGACGTCACGAGCCAGAGGGCGTGACCCGGCTGATCCTGACTTGAGCTGCCGGTGAATCGGTCCGGGCTCACCCGCCGCACGCGTGACACCCCGACCTTTGTGGCCTCGGTGACCTATGGACGGCGCTGTGGTGCGGTCGCGCAGTTCACTGACGGAGCACAAAGGAGCTGTTGCAGGGAAATTTGACGGATGGAAATGGACTGTGCTGGCGCGCGGAGCACAGTTCAAACTGTCTGGTTAGTCCGCAGCATTGCAATAACACGAGAATACGTGATGTGGTGCGCATTGCCAGTGGCATAGTCAAGAAGGAAGTCTAGGGGGCCATACCCCCACTCCTGGAGGTGACGTGGCTTCTTTTACAGCGCGGGTAGAGTTGGAAACGCAATATGAACAGTGTGGTTGCAACCAAATCAAGTCACTCAAGTCACTAAAATGCGCACGTGGTCTACGCTGCGTGCGCTTTTGCCGGAGTGCTTGGCGACCCTGCATGTCCCTTATGGAATGAGCTGTCTGGTCATCGCATCCGTATGAGGACGGCAACGCGATAGAAATACGAAATCGGATGAACAATGACGTGCTACTTGAGAGGTGTGTCGCCCACTACTATGACTGTTGATTAGAATAATAATAAACGCTTGTCGCTGATGTAGCCTAGCTTTGAAAGTATCAATTTAGCTATGCTTTATCGCTGGTGCTCCACGGAGAGCACTACATTTGCAACGCAAATGTAGTGCTCTCGATTGTCCGGCTGCGCTTTAAGCGGCAAGTGTGACATCCGAAGTCGTACGATTGTGCACTAGCAGCGCCGTTATCAGTGCGGTGCTTGACCAGCCAGCTCTGGCGATTGCGGCCCTCTTGACCGGTTGATCTCCGTTGTCCGCAGCGCTCCGGCCACCCCAGATAAGATGGACAACAGCGCATTCACGCCGGAGCCCTGCGACCGACCGGACGGCGCGGACGGACCGCCGTCGACGACCGAGGTGGCGCTCGAGATGCGGCCGTGCCACGCGACCGAGGAGAGCCAGCCGTTGTGCCAGTGCGACAAACACTGCGTGTGCGGCGAGCCGGCGGCGCGACCGGCCGACGCGCCGCAGGTGCGGCTCAAGCAGTGGAACCGCGCCAAGACGGCGGCGCTGGTGGCCGGCGTGGCGGCGCTGCTCGTCTGGTGCGGTGTCATGGTCGCCATGGGCCACTACGGTGTGCTCTGAGCCGATGGCGACGTGCCGCCGCAGCGCGGCACTGCGCAACGCTCGGCGTAGGCGTGTCTGCAGCTGGCGCAAAAACGCCCGCAGACTGCCCTGGAAGCCAGGCGGCGGCCATGCGCTCAATGTCGCCTGCTGCCGCCCGACGCTCCGGCACGGAACAGCGGGCGGTGTCTGCTGCTGCCGAGGCGGCACCGTTCTCCAGGCGCCGTGGCTGAGGTTGGGAGACTGCCGGCGTGTTGTCCCGACGCCTGTTCCCGTCAGCGCTGCCGTGTGAGCACAGACCACACGCCGTCCCGCCGTCTCTCCGCTGCTCGGAGGTGCCTGTGCGGCTCTGCTGCGGGAGACAGAAGAGCCATCTGTCGGCGGCCGTGACAGGCGCGGCGGCAACGACCCGTCCCTGTCAAGTACGCGGCATGATAGCTACCTCAGCTGTCAGACAAACACAGGCCACCGCGAACTCTTACCGCCTGCGGTGCGGGACGGAGCAGTCCCGGTGGGCTGCGGCATTGAAGCATAGGTCCCGCCCGCCTCATAGGGAGAGACAGACGACTGGTGAGCTGCGCGATTGGTTTTCGTCTCCTGGACTCTGCAATGTGAAAGGGGGTCACCTCCCTGTGCTTATTGCATTTATTTTCGCGACGCGATATTCGCTTCAAAATTGTTTACCTTATCTGAATTGCATTGGTATTAAAATTAGAATCGCTTTTTTAGTAAATCCTACTGAAATTAATTGAGACAAACTTAAGAGCCAAGTACGTACTATCGACAACAGTGTTGTTCCCACTCCGGGTTCTTTATGTTGATATTTGTCAAACGTGCGCTTTTCCGTCGCAATTCGTATGTAAAGTTCTTGCCTCAGCGAAGGCCAAATGGCAATTTCGCACCGCAGACTGGCACTAGGCTATTTGGCGGTGTCAGACGCATTGGCGCATAATGGGAATGACTGGTGCGCTATCAGCCACGCCAAGTTTTATGAAAAAAGCTTTAAACTTTTACAATGGGAGGTGCATTATCGTCATTCTCTATCCATGCTGATGTGCTGATATGGACAACTGGCAAAACCGGCGAACAAATAACGACTGAAGAGGCTTACAATTGGCAAAAAAGGACGCCATAAAAATCACCGAAAGACCTGGAACATTTCCTTCACATCAATCGCAAGAGTTGTTATGCCCTTCTCAGCCTGCCTCGTGTGAAGTCACGGCCGGCTGGCCTTCTTAGCCTGCCTCTTGTGCACCCACGGTCGGATGACCTCCTCAGCCTGATAATGAAGAATGTGATGAAGGCTTCCCGGCAAGAAAACCTGGCATACGGCCCTGTGCGGGTTTCTGTTTTCCAATGTAAACTATGCTAATAGTGGGCAATACGGTGACATGACGATCAAATGCACAGCTCGAACGGAAAGGCTGTGATATCGAGATGAACATGTTTTGAAGAAATAAGATGTACCGCATACGCGAAGCCTGTGTTGGTGTTGCCAGCGCTGCGCTGGTGTTGTGCGCTGCCCTGCCGCTGTCCCGCCCCCCTGCAATAGCGAATTTATACTGAGGAGCCCATCGGTCAGCATACGAGCCAGATGGTGTAAGCGCGCGACTCGGCACGTTGTGACTCCGGTACATCCGACATCAACACACACTCATGTGAGCCACAGAACTAGGGTGAGGTGGGTGGACCGGGGTATCAATGGGGCAGTAGGCCCGGTTAGGCACCATGAGCGGCGTCTCCCCGTACATAGTTGTGCGCCCTTAACTACGGGATCTGACCTCCACCATTGCACACTGCGTAGCTGGCTCCCGTCCGCAGCCTGTTTCAGTATCTGACACTGCCTTCACTTCACGAGATCCGACGCACTGATGAACGTGGGCACCTCACTGACGGGTTTGTGTGAACTGCGAGCGGTTGGATCTCATGTGCCCTCACGGCCGGAGGGCCTTCTCAGCCTGCCTCGTGTGAACTCACGGCCGGAGGACCTTCTCAGCCTGCTTCGTGTGAACTCACGGCCGGAGGGCCTTCTCAGCCTGCTTCGTGTGAACTCACGGCCGGAGGGCCTTCTCAGCCTGCTTCGTGTGAACTCACGGCCGGAGGGCCTTCTCAGCCTGCTTCGTGTGAACTCACGGCCGGAGGGCCTTCTCAGCCTGCTTCGTGTGAACTCACGGCCGGAGGGCCTTCTCAGCCTGCTTCGTGTGAACTCACGGCCGGAGGGCCTTCTCAGCCTGCCTCGTGTGAACTCACGGCCGGAGGGCCTTCTCAGCCTGCCTCGTGTGAACTCACGGCCGGACGACTTTCTCAGCCTGCCTTGTGTGCACTCACGGCCGGAGGGCCTTCTCAGCCAGCCTCGTGTGAACTCACGGCCGGAGGGCCTTCTCAGCCTGCCTCGTGTGCACTCACGGCCGGAGGGCCTTCTCAGCCTGCCTCGTGTGCACCCACGGCTGGAGGGCCTACTCAGCCCGTCTCGTGCGCACTCATGGCCGGAGGGACCTTCGCAGCCTGCCTCGCATCTGCGGCTGCACGATGGGTAGATGTCACCTACTTCGTCCATTTTTAATTCTTTCTGACCACATCAGTTTCTCCAACAATGTTAGTAAGGCTGTGCACTTTTCAATGTATAGCTGCCTGTCTTGGAGCCTTGAGAGAATGACATCGCTCCTATCATAAAAGAGTTCGACTTTGGATCTCTCGGCTGGCATCTTTCATTTCTCGGTAGCACCAGAGGATTTAAGATCCTTGAAACCTCACGGAAACTACATCAAAGCATGTCAGATAGGTGGCGGGTCGTAGCCGGACCTTCAGTGCAGTGCTAGGACTGCCACGGCTTCATGCCGTGGAAGCGACAGTCTTATGTCTTCAGCGTCAAGTCCTGATGTACTCCTCCTTGGTATGCACGATTCCGCTCATTAGAGATAGCGCGTTTCGAGTAGCCGAAATAAGCTACATTTTCAGAGAGCACGACACGAATACTAAAGAAACCGATGAAATAGCGATATTCCCATGTCCCATTCCCATTCCCACGTCCATCCCTTGTCCCACTCCCATTCCCACGTATATCAAATAGAGATTCGTCCGTCGATATATACTTCAAACACCATGCGTACGGTTACCAACAGCGCTACACGTAACTAACACCCATTACGCAGCTTCCTTCCACCATAGATTGTACCATGGCTATTCTTCTATCCATAATTTTGTTCTCGAATGTCTTGGAGTTTCAGATGCAGTCAAGAGTGTAGTGATAAGCATTGGCACGGGCTGCATCATGTTCACAATTCATGGTTGCACTAAAGAAGTACCCGATGGAAAGCACTGCCAATGAAGAAATACGAGGTTTGATCCGACTGTCTTATGCTTGTTATAAAAAGAATGTCTTAGAAATACAGCTGCGTTTCTCAGGCAGACCCCACACGTTTCATTGAAACGTTCACCAAGCCAGCACGCGAGCTGATCACTGTTGCTAGATTACAGCTATATCCTCGGCAGTCTTTCGTTGATCTTACAAAATCTTCCCGCGCACCGAAATATGATGGTAATCGGAATTTACCACCCACTCTTTACCGCAAACAAAACGCACCAAGAGGGTAAATTAAAGCCTGAACCAGGTTCACCACGACCATGAGGCGTTTCCAATCGAGCCGAGCACCCTAGCACGTACATCGCCATGTAAGCTGACACGCGAGCCTGTGCGCACGTGAGTCCTATGACGAACTGCTGTCGCTCAGCTCGCCGGAAGGATGACAGTCCACCGTGTCACTCGCAGATGAACGGCTTGCGGTGGTGACAGGCAATATCGTGCCACGTGATGCCGTCATTGTAGACGTTGTTGAGCACGGCCATGCAGTACTCGTGGCCCTCGCTGTCGTCGGGCTGGGGACGTCCCAGGCTGCCGGTGCCGGACCAGTTGAAGGGCTTCACCCGGTGGCCGTTCGCCGTCCAGTAGAAGTAGCCCCGCGGGCTGAGGCGGCCCGATGTCCAGATGTAGTCCACGTCTGACCACAGAGGTCAAGTTCATCAGTTTCAGGTTCGAATCCCGCGGTGCCAGGGTGAGAGACAGGCGACGCCATATAACATCAGCGGCTGAGTGCGTTGTAAAGTCCCAATGGCTAGCTCACCAGCTTGACGCGGCGATCTATTGCAAAGCGTAGCGTAGTTCCCGCGTGGAGAACTATCGCGCAGATAGTTGGTCACGACAAACAGCTTGGAAACATCGGCGGTTGGGGTGAGTCTAGCCTGTGACATGCCGTCTCAGCAGTTTTGATAAACACGCTTCGGAAAACACGACCGATGCGTTGTCACATATCACGATGTGCGACAGGCAAGTGAGCTCGCATTCTAGAAACTGCACCTAGTGATCTTCGTTCTACTACAGCTAGCCGACAGCTGGCTGATGGCCTGAAAGGGGTTTGGCCGTGTTGCAGCACTGTGTGGCACGGTACCCTGTTTCACCAGCATTTTCATCGACCTGACTAACTTGGGTCCAATTGGCGTGAAGTCGCCCTCTTCTCAGTAAGCTAAGCCTAGCCGAAAATTAGATCCCGTATCCAGCTTGAAAGAGCTTCAATAAAATTGTTAAACAACAGCTTTTTCTGAATTCAGGAGCCCGGTAGTGACATCCGGCCCGGTCTCCATGCGCCGAGACGACGGTCAGGTCGCGACCCGTCCTCGACCTTGCAGGTGCACCCGACTCGGCCCTTCCCGCTGCCGTACCGTCTTTGTAGATGAGTCTGTTGATGGCTCGGCTCTCTCGGTAGGAGCCGATGGAGACCAGGTCCAGACCGAGATGGTGACAGTGGTAGTTAGCCTCATCCCAGGTGAACTTGGCGTCCCGCCCGAGCTCACGCCACGAGAAATAGGGCCGGCGCCGACCGTACCGACTCCGTCCTTTGATGTCCTCCGCGCGACCCAGCGCCAGCAGCGCCAGGCAGAACAGCGCTAGCAGGGGCAGTCCGTGAGGACGCATCTGCGAACGGTAGTGGACAGACAATCCAGCTTATCTGTGGGACTAAGCCGCTTCCCAGCGTACCAGGTGGGAACCTACCGTCGGTCAAGAAAGCCGACCGGCGGTTCGGTCAGAGCATGGTGCCGATCTGCTTCGTGGGTTTGAGCTAAAAATGCGGCTCTGTTGAAGCTCTTCACAGGAAATTCACAAGATACTAATTAAGAGAGACTAAGCCGTGTGGGATATTGTAAGGTGAAATCTCGTAGCGAGCGCAGCAAATGTGCCAAAGGCCTGTTATTCACCGTGCAGTGGCACCTCGGGAGATGGTGAAGTTGTTGTCTTCCCAGAGAAACCAGCCTCACTACGACATAATATTACGTCCTGACGAGTACGCCGTAACGTCCCTGCTGTGCCGGGGAAGTAGCTTTCCAACCAATCGAAACCTAGAAGCATTGCAAGTGAAAAGAGAACAGAGGAAGGGCACCACATTAATAAGGGGCAAATACCGTGCTGTAATCTACGAGCTCGCGGGCGTCCTCCCGAACAAAGGTATGATTAAAACAAGCGCAAATTCAGCCCTGCCAAGCGCTTCCGTGCCTGTTCAGCCAGTCGCACTACATCGTTTGGCAAGTCTTAACACGTTGCTTTTTTGAAGACGGACATAGTTTCTCCGACAGTTTGAGAGCGAAATTTGGCCGTTTCTGTGTCACAATGGCGAGAGCGCCGGTATGGACCGGTGGCGTGAGCAGCAGACTCGGGCGATCGGCGACCAGCTCGGTTCGAATTTCACATAAGCCGCCACGCTTGTCTGACAACAGAGAAAACTCCGCCACCGGGCGTCAGGCATGACCGGGATCAATGCACTCACGACATGCCATGCTTGGTGAAGGTCTGATTCAAAGCCACTTAGGTAATCAGCCCATGCGATTTGATTTCACGAAATAGTAAACATACGGATATACCTTACTTTTTGTTTCAAAGCTTTCCGATTGATGTAAAATAACACAGGACATCGATTGAACACGGACAGAACGGTCTCGTCTTGGCTGGAGATGCTCTCGGTCATCATTGTCACCTGACCAACGGGATGAAATTGCAGTGGTCTTGAACACGTTTTTCGAAATGACAGTCAGGAAGTCTTACAAGTTTAAGAATCTCAATGACATCACTTTCATATAATTACAAGGATTCTTATGCCTCAATGGATTTTGTGTGCTGGAAAAAAGTGTCGCTCTGAGGAATGACGTACGGAATAAGCCCGCGTTGCAGTTGCAGCAGACAATGCTGACGCTCTCAGAACCCCATATCGTTACCTTTCAGAAGCTCGTGCGTAGAGGATGAGACCCTTTTCTGACTTGACTGGCCGACCACACACCGGGATCGTGAATCCTGGTTGGGGCCCGGCGCACGGCTGTTTTATAGCGCTGGCCGAGCGGTTCTCACAACGACGTCAACCCGGCTGACCTCGGCAGGAAGCAATAACCGGTCAGCTCCTGCCTCCAGCATGCTGCAAATGTCATTTCAAAACGCTGTACCTCAAATGTGGCACAACCCGTACACCGCAATGTTGAAAGAATTGCTCTTCTTGTAGTTGGCATCCGTGTGGACCTGCGGTCAATCGCTGTAAATGTATTAACTTCTAGAAAGCGGAAAATAACAATCCGGGGCACTTAAGTTGAGACTATTAGCAAACTTCATGTAGGAATCACTTGATATACAATCTCACCCGTAATTGTATATCTAGCACACCTATTGCTTAAAGACCTGTTTTCCCAGTAGGTAAAAAAAAAAACAGGAGACCATTTCTCTGCCTTACTCACTGCGAGTTTGGAAGCGTTTGTAATACGGTGCATTCCACTGCAAATCGGCAAGTGTCTCACACTCGCATGCCTCGGATTTTGATGAAATGGGGTCACAGGTGATTGTCATCAGCGCTGAAGTCACTTGTAACGTTTATAAATATTTCAGCTGTACAGTTTCAGAGTGAAAGCTTTCGGCAATTTCTAGTTGTGGTGATACAGGGCTATCTTAGGTGTCTATTCACTTGCCTAAAAGATGACCTGCAAACCTATACGTTAAAGCTATCAGAAGACTGCTCAGAATATTTGTATACCATTTTCGAAGGCGTTAGTGTACAAAAAAAATGATAAGGTCATTACGAAATTTTACAAGGCACGAAGATAAATTGTTGGGGTGACACCGATCTTTTTCTCATTTGCATGTGAAAGAGCGTAATTTAGCACCCAGATTCCAAAACTAAAAAGGTGGTTTTCCACTTGGCTCTCCTGGGTGATTGGAGCAACGCATGGTCCATGCACCAACGAATCATGCGTAACAGACGAAGACTGGGCGTGCGGCGCGCCGCCGAGTACGTCCCCTCCCCCGAATTGCGATGCCCCCCATGTAGACTGTTGGGGCTCGGGTGATTGGAGCATGAGGAGGGATGGGGAGGTGAGTGCCTACTGCTAGGCTGGTGTCGTCTCTTGTTAATGTGGGCGACTCAGAAATCCGACAAAGGGCCAGTGATGGACCTTGGGTCAGCGCCAGTTGTGTGGCTGGAGCGCGTGGGTGTATTCGCACTGTGTCTAGCGACAATGAAGAGCTTAAACGATCACAATTGTGCCAGATTATTTGGCAAGCAGAACAAAACGAGAGGACGGCCAGCCAGGCCAGAAGACGGCATAAAATGGACTGATCAGCTGGAACTGGTCGCTGAACGTATCCAGGACCGGTGGGTAACTTTTTTAACATTTCTGAGTCGTAACTGTCACACCAAACTTACTTAAGGTTCTGGAAGCTTTCCTAGGGACGATAGCGCAAAACTTCAGGCGGAACCGGAATGCTAGTTGTCTAGCTCCCTATCCCAGGGATGAAGTTGAATGAACACCGACTACCAGTGCTCGGAAATGGCTGGAGAAAACGTTCCAGTCGTTTTAAAGGATCTTTTACCAACGCTAATGCACCGAAGTAACCACTGGAATTCTTAGATCATGAGTAGTTTATCACTTGGCCATTCAACGGAATTTTTCGACAACTTCAGTCAAATCCTCAATAGCATTCTTCCTTTGCAATAACTGTGAGAAGTGAGACAGTGCCATGTGGTTACGCGCAAAGGAAATCGATACTTACGCGGAGTTCTTGACGTAAATATTGTGTAAAACATAAGGACACAGACTTAGTTTCATGCATATATCTTCCCCTCCAGAACACCTTTTTCGCACATGCTTTGCCACGCACATGCTTCTCTCCGCTTCAGAAAGCTTAGCCGTATCACAGAGGCGGACCGTTGGAGCGAAGAAGTTGGAGAAGGCAACCAGCTCACAAAAACGTAAACTGAAACAATCTTTCGGCGTGGATATTCCGGCCCCTGATGCCAACCTCGCAAAAAGTTAAGGGCTGAAAAAGACACATTTGACAATTTAGAGAGGTGTATTGCTCGCGCGCAGTTAGGTATCGTCAATACAAAGCGATGAGTGTAAAGCCAACAGACGTGGTAAATAAAGTTGAGTACTTGGCGTAGATTATCTCAGTTTCTCATGGCGTTTAAAAGTTTAAACTGGCTGAAATTAGATGGCTGTGAAACATGACGCAAAAGAGAGATTTGTGGTGTATTTTTTGACCTCATCACTGGGTTTAAAGCATTATTTTATAGGGTGTTTCAGATATGAGCGCATGATGAATGAGCATTTTAAAAGATTTCTCTTAGCGCCGCCCACGAATCCTTAGGCCATCCCCATTTACGATAACAGACAGAACCGCCGACTATTTTCGGAACGGTGCAGTACATGGTACGTCGTAGACGTAAACTGAGAGAAGAGCACGGAAGTTTCCCAGACATGTTTCCATACTTGAGGGAAATAAAAATGGGTAAGGAGAAAAATCCAAAGATTGCCTCGTTTTACGTTGAATCAGTTAGTTGTATAAGTCCCGGAAAGAACGATTAAATCTGTGAGAAATGGAAACGATGATAAGGTGAAAAGAAAAAACGAATATTGCTAGGCAATCTGCACGTGATTTACCAACTGTACAAGGGCACCGAGGGCTACCCACGAGTCTGATTTTCCAAGTTCGTTAGCCTGCGCCCGAAACACTGCGTCGTAATGGGCGGCAGCGGCACTCACGCGGTTTGCGCGTGCTCATTTAACCATCTGAACGCGAAGCTGATGGTGATACGTCTTGGCCTGCGAGATGTTACTCAAGTCAAGATGTGTGTGATGTTCTTGGGGAATGCAGTGTGACGCGATAGTGAGAGAACTGTCCGGGTTTGCATGGTGTGCGATCGTTTTTGACTGACGCAATCAATGTGCAAGCAGAGGACATTTCGGATTCGGTCAATAAAATCAGATATAGCCAGTGGGTGAGTCCCTACTGCCGTACTTTAATTGGATTTGTTCTGCCAGTAGATGGGCTTGAGCGAAATTGTCCGGAGCCATAGTTCCGCTGACTAGACATCAATTTACGTTCCAGCATCAGGATAAATTTAGGGACGACCAAAAAACGACTGCCCGCGAACGAAGCTATAATCACTTTATTCCTTTCAGATAACTACACTGTCATTGATAGCTCGTACTGACGTGCATATCAGCATCTGAAACAGCAATGATTTGCACGCATCTTGCTGTGGCGGCACAAAAAGAGCCTCGGTTGCGAATAACAGCGCAGCATCTTGTTGTACAGGTTACTGAGATGCGAGAAGCTGGCATTTTCTTGCATTGGTTCAGCCAAGGGGCCCTGGAGTGGGGCCCCTATCAGGCTGAATGCTTTCATCACAGACAACTTCCAACAGAAAGTAAAAAAAAATCGGCGTCATGCGTGCTCACCAAGAGCAGCAGGACGGCCACCCGTGTCAGCGAAAACAAAAGCACACTAGTTCACCATGAAAACCTCAAGAAATGATTTGTTTGAAAAGGGCTGCACGGTGTACATCGCCGTGTAGCTTCTGGTGGGCCGTTAGCGATATCAGTGGTCATATAAGAGCCCAGAGACCAAATGACCATTTGGGACTCAAATATGAAAATCCTGTGTGAAAGCCGAGCACGCTCCAAAAATAACTGATTGCATTTTGCGATACGCACTAATCAGTGTAACTCTGTTACAAACGAGAGTTGCATGGTTTGATGTTGCATCCTAAATGATTGATTATGATCCTTTATTGCAGCTGGAGCACGTTAGGGTGGAGCTGTGACTAATGCATTTCTGTTCAAGTCTTGAAAACTAAGTCCATGACTCCTACAGCTATTTTGTTCTGGCGAGAATCAAAAGCCTCCCTTTCACAAGTCGAATGCCCATAAATTCTTGGCCTCAGCTTCCAGAGCTGAAAACCGCCAGGTAAGTACTTCGGTAGCAAATTGCAATGCCCAATCCTCAAGAAGTCCGGACCACTGGGCACACAACTTTCTACAATGTCTCGTGACTGTCGGTTGTTGCGTACCTGCATGTGCAGAAATAATGCGTTACGAAACCAACATTACCCAATGGTAGTTTGAGGCACCGGTCAGAGCTTATCATATCTCTGCCTGTTCAAGCTCTGTGCATTGGCCTAGTTTGATTTCGACATTAGCAACCGTAGCAGAGATTATGACTGAATTCGCACAGTTATTGCCACTTTGCTGAAGTGCTACGACCCCGGATCGTGTGGCGCTCGTCCTCTGTTAATGCATGTTCTGTCCACTCTGTGATTACTTTAAACTCCTGAATTTAAATGACAGCGAGGGACGACAGACAGAACTTTTAACAGGCATAACTTGGCATGCAGTCTATCCATTATGGTTGGGCGAGGTTCAAACGACCTCATGTGAGCTGCTAAGTTCAAAATTTATTTTTCGCCGCACAAATATGATAGCCAGGGTTGGCGAAACCCCGGAAAAGGGGACGCATCTCCCGCAACTCTAATAACATGGGCCTGTACCCCACAGCCTTAAACTAAAAATTGTGTGAAAATAGATGACAATTCTAATCGAAGGCCCAAAAATATGATTGTTAATGTATTTCTCGTTTGCGCTATACCCAACTGTTTTTTTAACACTCGTGCTATTAGCTCAGTGCTTGATTTTTTATTGTTTCCAATATTCGAACGCTGATTCCTGTATTGAGATGTTCTCGGAATTCGATTATAAGGCCGAGCGTTCAAATATCCCGAATCTAAATGTCCAGCTTTCGTGGGCAGCATATCATTCAAATCGATAGAGCAAGCCAGCCAGCCAGTAAAAATGTTGTCACGTTGCCGTCCTCCCGTGTATGACCCTTGAACAGGTTCGTCATTTTTACCTTCGCCATTGCTGCAGGAGGGCGATTTGGCACGTCCCTATTTCGCAGTTCTCCATTGAGTCGGTTGCCAAATTGGCGTGTCGACCTTGTAACATGGCACCACTTCGCGTTTTTCT